TGGATACAAGCAGTGGGCTGCCTCTTGGGAGGAGTTATGCAAATATCAAAATGCGTTGTTGCTGGCAGATTGCCCTAGGTAACACCCACATTTGATACTGAGCCTCTATGATTGAAAGAACCGAACCCCCAAAAATGAAAGGGCCGGGTCAGTCAGTCTGGGGAGGAAGGAGCTATATGATACTGGAGCCTTTCAATTAGCCAAGATGCACATCAGGACAGGTGGCATTCAGAAAGTGCTTTGCATTTTCTAAATAAATGCAGAGCGTTCTCTGATTGGACGAGGTGGAGAGGAAGGGGGTGATGTCAGGGCTTTTGTGTATCTGATATGTGTGTATGGGTAGTGGGAAAATTGACTGCAATGGATTCAAGAATACCCCACACACTGTTTTGCCCTCCCTTATACCTGTATTCCATGTGAATATTCTGTATATAAAAAGACATTCAGTTTGGCTAGGAGGGGTGCTTTGTCTGCTTGTGAGTACAACCTTCCACAGTGCCAACCAACTCCCATAGTACTCTCAACCTTCCATAGTGGACTGCAGTGCCCCTAGCCTCCCACAGTGCCCTCCAACCTGCTGCAGAGCCTCCAGCCCCCTATAGTGCCCCAATCTACAACAGCATCCCATACTGCCCCCCACCCTCCCACAGTGCCTCCCGGTTCCCATAGTGCTCCTCAACCTTCCATAGTGAACCTACAGTGCCCCCCAGCCCCCTGCGGAGCCTCCAGCACCCTATAGTGCCTCAATCTTCAACAGTATCCTATACCGCCCCCTACCCTTCCACAGTGTCTCCCAGTTCCGATAGTACTCCTCAGCCTTCCATAGTGAACCTGCAGTGCCACCAACCCCCCTGTACCCTGCAGGGCCTGCTGCACCCTATAGTGCCTCCAATCTCCAACAGTGTCCTACATTGCCTTGCCCACCTCCCACAGTGCCCACAACTCCTGCACACCCTCCAGTGTCCCCAGCATCCGGGATAGACTCCCAGCCCTTCCAGAGACCCCATCCCTCACGGTTTCCCCCAAGCCATCCATAAACCTCATCCCCTACTAGGCCACCAAGTCTGCTAAAGAATCTCCTACCCCCCTCCATAATTTCCATCCCCCCACAGTGACATCCAGCCCCATCCAGAGCTTTCCAATATTTCACAACATATTTTCCATTCCCATACTGTTCATGTGTAAGTATAAGCTTTTTTATGACCTTTTCTTCTCAGAGAATAGGTGCAGGAACTTCCCCCCTCTGAATCACTTCTTTCCTCCGTGCCCCTACCTATCTCTCTCACAGGTTAGGAAAGAGACAATGTGTGGTGACAACGTTATGTTTAGAAACAGACAGGCTAGGCTTTATTTTAATACAAAATTTGCACAGCTATGCCCATATGGAAGAAAAATATATTTGAAATATATTTTTAAAATATTCTCCCCAAATATATTGAAATACTACAATTTTGGTCATATTCAATATATTTAAAAATATATTTCAATAAATAAATATATATATATATATAGTGGGGCAAAAAAGTATTTAGTCCCCACCAATTGTGCAAGTTCTCCCACTTACAAAGATGAGAGAGGCCTGTAATTGGCATCATAGGGAGACCTCAACTATGAGAGACAAAATGAGAAAACAAATCCAGACAATCACATTGGCTGATCTGGAAAGAATTTATTTGCAAATTATGGTGGAAAATAAGTATTTGGTCACCTACAAACAAGCAAGATTTCTGGCTCTCACAGACCTGGACCTTCTTCTTTAAGAGGCTCCTCTGTCCTGCACTCATTACCTGTATCAATGGCACCTGTTTGAACTTGTTATCAGTATAACAGACACCCGTCCACAACCTCAAACAGTCACACTCCAAAACTCCACTATGGTGAAGACCAAAGAGCTGTCGAAGGACACCAGAAACAAAATTGTAGACCTGCACCAGGCTGGGAAGACTGAATCTGCAATAGGCAAGCAGCTTGGTTTGAAAAAATCAACTGTGGGAGCAATAATTAGAAAATGGAAGGCATACAAAACCACTGATAATCTCCCTCGATCTGGGGCTCCACGCAAGATCTCACCCCGTGGGGTCAAAATGATCACAAGAACAGTGAGCAAAAATCCCAGGACCACACGGGGGGACCTAGTGAATGACCTGCAGAGAGCTGGGACCAACGTAACAAAGGCTACCATCAGTAACACACTACGCCGCCAGGGACTCAGATCCTGCAGTGCCAGACGTGTCCCCCTGCTTAAGCCAGTACATGTCCTGGGCCCGTCTGAAGTTTGCTAGAGAGCATTTGGAGGATCCAGAAGAGGATTGGGAGAATGTCATATGGTCAGATGAAACCAAAATAGAACTGTTTGGTAGAAACAAAACTCGTCGTGTTTGGAGGAGAGAGAATGCTGAGTTGCATCCAAAGAACACCATACCTACTGTGAAGCTTGGGGGTGGCAACATCCTGCTTTGGGGCTGTTTCTCCGCAAAGGGACCAGGACGACTGATCCATGTACAGGACAGAATGAATGGGGCCATGTATCGTGAGATTTTGAGTGCAAACCTCCTTCCATCAGCAAGGGCATTGAAGATGAAACGTGGCTGGGTCTTCCAACATGACAATGATCCCAAACATACCGCCCGGGCAACGAACGAGTGGCTTCGTAAGAAGCATTTCAAGGTCCTGGAGTGGCCTAGCCAGTCTCCAGATCTCAACCCCATAGAAAACCTTTGGAGGGAGTTGAGAGTCCGTGTTGCCCAGCGACAGCCCCAAAACATCACTGCTGTAGAGGAGATCTGCATGGAGGATGGGCCAGCAACAGTGTGTGCCAACCTTGTGAAGACTTCCAGGAAACGTCTGACCTCTGTCATTGCCAACAAAGGGATATATAACAAAGTATTGACATGAACTTTTCATATTCACCAAATACTTATTTTCCACCATAATTTGCAAATAAATTCTTTCCAGATCAGCCAATGTGATTGTCTGGATTTGTTTTCTCATTTTGTCTCTCATAGTTGAGGTCTCCCTATGATGCCAATTACAGGCCTCTCTCATCTTTGTAAGTGGGAGAACTTGTACAATTGGTGGGGACTAAATACTTTTTTGCCCCACTGTATATATATATATATATATATATATATATATATATATATATATATATATACACACACTGTATGTTGAAATGCGTTTTTATTACAAAATATATGTAAGATATTTAAAAAAATATTTTTTCATATATTTTGTAAAATATAAAAGATGCACTTCAACATGCAGTGTGTGTGTGTGTGTGTATATATATATATATATAAACTGCATGTTGACATGTGGTTTTTATATATTACAAAATATATGAAAAGTATTTTTAAAAAAATATATATTTTTTTTTTTAGATATACTCTGCAGATTTTTTTTTTACATATAAAAAGGTCATTTGAACATATATTTTTACATACATTTGTAAATGCATTCCAAAAATGTACATTTGTATTCTTAAAGACATACAGTATATTTGAAATGTATTTTTAAAAATATTTTTCATATTTTTTTTGTAATAAAAACACATTTCAACATACAGTATATATATATATATATATATATATATATATATATATATATAATTTATGTATTTATTTATTTATTTTAATTATATTGAATATGGCCAAAATGATAGTATTTCAAATATATGGCAATATATTTGGGAAGAATATTTTTAAAATATATTTCAAATACATATTTCTTCCATGTGGGTGTGTCCTGTGAAGCAACATATATTTGTTCTGTGCAAATGGGGGAAAAGCTGAATGTGACCAGGCGATTTTCTAACCAGTTCTTCAGTCATACAGAATTAGGGGGATCAGGAAAATACCTCCTCATGACCACTGGATGGAGCTAACGATCATAGGAAGTAAATGTTAATTTTCTATGATCTCCAGCTCTGTCTAGTGACCATAATTCGGTATTTTTTCGAACCATTCTGTTTTTAATGAATGAATACCATCCAACCTAAAGAGATGGTTGAGCAGGGGGACAGTTCTAGAACCCAGGAACACACTGACCTCTCAATGATGGAATCCAGGACAGGAAATAAAGCCACTCAGCGGCAAAGCCTTGTCCTTGGAGTCAGTTTACCTAAAACAATTTAATCCTTTCATTGTACATCATTATATGTGAGAGCCTGGTGTCTGCAGTGGAGAGGAGGATGTGTAATCACTTCCAGTCCGGTCATGTGACCTGCGAGTAATTGTAGAAATCAATGTTATGCCTTTGATGAACTTGTCCTCTGGATGCACTGCAGGTCACACTTCATTCTGGAGGAGATAAAAGAGCTGTCAGGGCAACAGATACATTGTTTGATATTTTCTGTATCCCGGGTTAGACACATACTCAGACCCGATAGAAATGTTTCAGATTATTATTTAGGTTACTATTATTTTTCCATATGGCAATGGTAAGTAAGGCGGTCAACATTTTACATTTTTTTTTGTCAAGCAAAATTTGTTGTGCAGAATTATATTTAAAAGCAAGGGCCTCCATACCTTCTAAACAAAAGGCCAGTTTACTGTCCTTCAGATCTAAAGGGGCCTGGACTGTGGCCAGTGGGGATAGAAAATGTCCTGTCCTAATTGAGGGTAAGCAATGCCCAAGGCTTGGTGATCAGTGGCATCATATTGCCAAAAGTGTTGGGCCGCCTGCCTTTCCACGCACATGAACTTTAATGGCCTCCCAGTCTTAGTCCATAGGGTTCAATACTGAGTCGGCCCGCCCTTTGCAGCTATAACATCTTCAACTCTTCTGGGAAGGCCATCCATAAGGTTTAGGAGGGTGTCTATGGGAAGGTTGGACCATTCTTCCAGAAGCACATTTGTCAGGTCAGGCACTGATGTCGGGGTGGGAGGCCTGACTCGCAGTCTCCGCTCTAATTCATCCCAAAGGTGTTCTATGGGGTTGAGGTCAGGACTCTGTGCAGGCCAGTCAAGTTCCTCCACCCCAAACTGGCTCCTCCATGTCTTTATGGACCTTGCTTTGTGCACTGGTGCATAGTCATGTTGGAACATGAAGGGGCCATCCCCAAACTCTTCCCACAAAGTTGGGAGCATGAAATTGTCCAAGAGAAGATGTCTGCACTGCTCTAGAGTCCAGTAGCAGCGTGTTTTACACCACGGCATCCGACGCTTTGCATTGCACTTGGTGATGGAAGGCTTGGATGCAGCTGCTCGGCCATGGGAACCCATTCCATGAAGCTCTCTACGCACTGTTGTTGAGCTCATCTGAAGGCCACACCAAGTTTGGAGGTCTTTAGCTATTGACTCTGCAGACAGTTGGCGACTTCTGCGCACTGTGTGCTTCAGCATGCGCTGACCCCGCCCTGTCATGTGGTGTGGCCTACCACTTGGTGTCTGAGTTGCTGTTGTTCCCAGTTGCTTCCACTTTGTTATAATCCCACTAACAGTTGAGCGTGGAATATTTAGTAGCCAGGAAATGTCACGGATGGACTTATTACACAGATGGCCACCTATCACGGGACCACGCTTGGAGTCACTGAGCTCCTGAGAGCGACCCATTCTTTCACCAATGTTTGTAGAAACAGTCTGCATGCCTAGGGGATGGATTGTATACACCTGTGTCCATGGAGGGGATTGGAACACCTGAATCACATGATTGGGAGGGCGGGCCCAATACTTTTGGCAATATAGTGTAGTACCTGTGGTCAGTAGATGGAGGAATAATGTTCCATCACTGGTGTCAGTTGGAGGAATAGTCCCCCATCCTTGGCGTCAGTGGGAGGAATAGTCCCCCATCATTGGTGTCAGTGGGAGGAATAGTGCCCTATCATTGTTATCAGTGGGATGAATAGTGCCCCATCATTGGTGTCAGTAGGAGGAATAGTGCCCCATCATTGTTATCAGTGGGATGAATAGTGCCCCATCATTGGTGTCAGTGGGAGGAATAGTGCCCCATCATTGGTGTCAGTGGGAGGAATAGTGCTCCATCATTGGTATTAGTGGGAGGAATGGTGCTCCATCATTGGTGTCAGTGGGAGGAGTAGTGCCCCATCATTGGTATTAGTGGGAGGAATAGTGCCCCATCATTGGTGTCAGTGGGAGGAATAGTGCCCCATCATTGGTGTCAGTGGGAGGAATAGTGCCCCATCATTGGTATCAGTGAGAGGAATAGTATCCCATCATTGGTATCAGTGGGAGGAATAGTGCCCCATCATTGGTATCAGTGGGAGGAATAGTGCCCCATCATTGGTATCAGTGGGAGGAATAGTGCCCCATCATCAGTTTCAGTGAGAGGAATAGTGACTCATTATTGGTGTCAATGGTTAGAATAGTGACCTATCATTGCAGTCAATGGGAGGAATAGGGCCCCATCATTATTGTCAGTGGAAGGAATAAAGCCCCGTTGGTGCCAGTGGTAGGGATAGTACCCCGTAGTTTGTATTAGTGGGAGGAATAGTGCCCCTTCATCAGTATCAATGACAGGAATTATGCCCCACTGTTGGTATCAGTGAGAAGAATAGTGATTCATATCAGTGGGAAGACTAGTGTCCCAAGGGCCTGATAATGGCTAGCAAAGGGCCAAATGTATCCTGCAGGCTGCAGTTTGGAGACCACTGTCTTAGAGGATCACTTTTCTAAAAAGTAAACTACTACTCTGGCATATTTGCTAATTGAAAATTACTTGAGGCCCCTTAAAGCCCAACTCTGGGCAATCTTTATAGTTAAAAAAAAGATCACCAGCAGAAAAAACAAATGCAGCTCAGGCTGCAATATTCACTTAAATCTAGAGCTGCCTACCTTAACCATTCCAGACCAATTGCCCTCCTTGGGATCAGATCATGTTGGTGGGACTTATCAAAAAATGGTGTGGGTTTCCCCATAATTCATGCTAGGTCCTTCAAGTCTAGTATGAATTTTTGGGGAAAGCCATGCAAAAATAAATAAATAAATGGCCTGAGATCCATCCCAGATACTATACCAGACCCTTTGGGATGTCATGGTAGAACCCCATGTAAAAATAAAGAAAGAAGAAAAAAAGAAGCTTGCCAAAAAAAAATCTGCACTAGTCCCTATCCAAGAAATGGTGAGCCAGGAAAGCAGGGGGAGGAGTGTGTACCCTGCCCACCTTAACCATACCAGACCACATGCCCTCCTTGGGATCAGATCATGTTGGTGGGACCTATCAAACAATGGTGTGGGTTTCCCCATAATTCATACTAGGTCCTTCAAGTCTAGTATGAATTTTTGGGGAACGCCATGCAAAAATAAATAAATGGCCTGAGATCCCTCCCATATACTACTATACCAGACCTTTTGGGATTGTATAGTAGAACCCCATGTAAAAATAAAGAAAGAAGAAAAAAAGAAGCTTGTCAAAAAAAATCTGCACTAGTCCCTATCCAAGAATGGTGAGTCAGGAAAGCAGGGGGACGAGTGTGTACCCTGCCCACCTTAACCATTCCAGACCACATGCCCTCCTTGGGATCAGATCATGTTTGGTGGGACTTATCAAAAAATGGTGTGGGTTTCCCCATAATTCATACTAGGTCCTTCAAGTCTAGTATGAATTTTTGGGGAACGCCATGCAAAAATAAATAAATAAATGGCCTGAGATCCATCCCAGATACTATACCAGACCCTTTGGGATTTTATGGTAGAACCCCATGTAAAAATGAAGAAAGAAGAAAAAAAGTAGCTTGTCAAAAAAAATCTGCACTAGTCCCTATCCAAGAATGGTGAGTCAGGAAAGCAGGGGGACGAGTGTGTACCCTGCCCACCTTAACCATTCCAGACCACTTGCCCTCCTTGGGATCAGATCATGTTGGTGGGACTTATCAAAAAATGGTGTGGGTTTCCCCATAATTCATACTAGGTCCTTCAAGTCTAGTATGAATTTTTGGGGAACGCCATGCAAAAATAAATAAATAAATGGCCTGAGATCCATCCCAGATACTATACCAGACCCTTTGGGATTTTATGGTAGAACCCCATGTAAAAATGAAGAAAGAAGAAAAAAAAGAAGCTTGCCAAACTAAAATCTGCACTAGTCCCTATCCAAGAATGGTGAGCCAGGAAAGCAGGGGGACGAGTGTGTATCCTGCCCACCTTAACCAGGCCACATGCTCTCCTTGGGATCAGATCATGTTGGTGGGACTTATCAAAAAATGGTGTGGGTTTCCCCATAATTCATACTAGGTCCTTCAAGTCTAGTATGAATTTTTGGGGAACGCCATGCAAAAATAAATAAATAAATGGCCTGAGATCCATCCCAGATACTATACCAAACCCTTTGGGATGTCATGGTAGAACCTCATGTAAAAATAAAGAAAGAAGAAAAAAAGAAGCTTGCCAAAAAAAAAAATCTGCACTAGTCCCTATCCAAGAATGGTGAGCCAGGAAAGCAGGGGGAGGAGTGTGTACCCTGCCCACCTTAACCATACCAGACCACATGCCCTCCTTGGGATCAGATCATGTTGGTGGGACCTATCAAACAATGGTGTGGGTTTCCCCATAATTCATACTAGGTCCTTCAAGTCTAGTATGAATTTTTGGGGAACGCCATGCAAAAATAAATAAATGGCCTGAGATCCCTCCCATATACTACTATACCAGACCTTTTGGGATTGTATAGTAGAACCTCATGTAAAAATAAAGAAAGAAGAAAAAAAAGAAGCTTGTCAAAAAAAATCTGCACTAGTCCCTATCCAAGAATGGTGAGTCAGGAAAGCAGGGGGACGAGTGTGTACCCTGCCCACCTTAACCATTCCAGACCACTTGCCCTCCTTGGGATCAGATCATGTTGGTGGGACTTATCAAAAAATGGTGTGGGTTTCCCCATAATTCATACTAGGTCCTTCAAGTCTAGTATGAATTTTTGGGGAACGCCATGCAAAAAAATAAATAAATAAATGGCCTGAGATCCGTCCCAGATACTATACCAGACCCTTTTGGGATTTTATGGTAGAACCCCATGTAAAAATGAAGAAAGAAGAAAAAAAGTAGCTTGCCAAACTAAAATCTGCACTAGTCCCTATCCAAGAATGGTGAGCCAGGAAAGCAGGGGGACGAGTGTTTACCCTGCCCACCTTAACCATTCCAGACCACTTGCCCTCCTTGGGATCAGATCATGTTGGTGGGACTTATCAAAAAATGGTGTGGGTTTCCCCATAATTCATACTAGGTCCTTCAAGTCTAGTATGAATTTTTGGGGAATGCCATGCAAAAATAAATAAATGGCCTGAGATCCGTCCCAGATACTAAACCAGACCCTTTGGGATTTTATGGTAGACCCCCATGTAAAAATGAAGAAAGAAGAAAAAAAGAAGCTTGCCAAAAACAAAAAATCTGCACTAGTCCCTATCCAAGAATGGTGAGCCAGGAAAGCAGGGGGACGAGTGTGTACCCTGCCCACCTTAACCATACCAGGCCACATGCCCTCCTTGAGATCAGATTATGTTGGTGGGACTTATCAAAAAATGGTGTGGGTTTCCCCATAATTCATACTAGGTCCTTCAAGTTTAGTATGAATTTTTGGGGAATGCCATGCAAAAATAAATAAATAAATGGCCTGAGATCCATCCCAGATACTATACCAGACCCTTTGGGATGTCATGGTAGAACCCCATGTAAAAATAAAGAAAGAAGAAAAAAAAAAGCTTGCCAAAAAAAAATCTGCACTAGTCCCTATCCAAGAATGGTGAGCCAGGAAAGCAGGGGGAGGAGTGTGTACCCTGCCCGCCTTAACCATACCAGACCACATGCCCTCCTTGGGATCAGATCATGTTGGTGGGACCTATCAAACAATGGTGTGGGTTTCCCCATAATTCATACTAGGTCCTTCAAGTCTAGTATGAATTTTTGGGGAACGCCATGCAAAAATAAATAAATAAATGGCCTGAGATCCGTCCCAGATACTATACCAGACCCTTTTGGGATTTTATGGTAGAACCCCATGTAAAAATGAAGAAAGAAGAAAAAAAGTAGCTTGCCAAACTAAAATCTGCACTAGTCCCTATCCAAGAATGGTGAGCCAGGAAAGCAGGGGGACGAGTGTTTACCCTGCCCACCTTAACCATTCCAGACCACTTGCCCTCCTTGGGATCAGATCATGTTGGTGGGACTTATCAAAAAATGGTGTGGGTTTCCCCATAATTCATACTAGGTCCTTCAAGTCTAGTATGAATTTTTGGGGAATGCCATGCAAAAATAAATAAATGGCCTGAGATCCGTCCCAGATACTAAACCAGACCCTTTGGGATTTTATGGTAGACCCCCATGTAAAAATGAAGAAAGAAGAAAAAAAGAAGCTTGCCAAAAACAAAAAATCTGCACTAGTCCCTATCCAAGAATGGTGAGCCAGGAAAGCAGGGGGACGAGTGTGTACCCTGCCCACCTTAACCATACCAGGCCACATGCCCTCCTTGAGATCAGATCATGTTGGTGGGACTTATCAAAAAATGGTGTGGGTTTCCCCATAATTCATACTAGGTCCTTCAAGTTTAGTATGATTTTTTGGGGAACGCCATGCAAAAATAAATAAATAAATGGCCTGAGATCCATCCCAGATACTATACCAGACCCTTTGGGATGTCATGGTAGAACCCCATGTAAAAATAAAGAAAGAAGAAAAAAAAAGAAGCTTGCCAAAAAAAAATCTGCACTAGTCCCTATCCAAGAATGGTGAGCCAGGAAAGCAGGGGGAGGAGTGTGTACCCTGCCCACCTTAACCATACCAGACCACATGCCCTCCTTGGGATCAGATCATGTTGGTGGGACCTATCAAACAATGGTGTGGGTTTCCCCATAATTCATACTAGGTCCTTCAAGTCTAGTATGAATTTTTGGGGAACGCCATGCAAAAATAAATAAATGTAGCTTGCCAAACTAAAATCTGCACTGGTCCCTATCCAAGAATGGTGAGCCAGGAAAGCATGGGGATGAGTATGTACCCTGCCCACCTTAACCATACCAGGCCACATGCCCTCCTTGAGATCAGATTATGTTGGTGGGACTTATCAAAAACTGTGTGTTTTTATTTAATCTTCACTTTTGAATGAGTAGGGCAGTATCTGGGTGCCCCGTTATTGTTAAAGGGGGCTTCAAGATTC